AATACCAAACTAAACAACAAATACAAATTGGAATGGTGGTATTCATTTCTGAAGGAGTTTAAACATTTAAAAGCATAAAAATAGTACATACCATTGGGCCAGCCGGTCCTCTCGGTCCTACAACCTTTAGTGGAATAAGAAATCAATATTTAAATGGCAGCTTTGGTCTTACTGATCTGCTGAAAGTTAGCATTTAGTTTAATTCAAGTTAGTTCAATTCATTTTGTTTATATAGTGCCAATTCATAACACATGTCATCTCGAAGCACTTTACAGTTCAGCAGATCATGCAGTCAAATTGATTCAAGTTTTCTATCTAAAGAAAAGCTGTTGATTGCATCGACTCATCGACACGAAGGCTGCATTATGGATGTGTTATAAAGTTATCTTTCTCCAATCAGGAACACACTGATGAATTGCTTATTTCTTCAGGCAAAGCATAAGGAGAAACATACAGTAAACGATGGCTGTTTATTTCCTGCTTCAAACCAATGCTCCCTCAGAGGGCTAAACACTTCCAGGTGTGGCAGCAGCAATGCTGAGGGACTTATTCTCTCAACTTTATGGGGATTTTTGCTCAGGCCTTATTGGAGTTGGCAGAAAAGCTCATCCTCTTTTTAGACCTCTTTGCTAGCCTTTCTATTGTAAGCGGTTTTACAGCTTACTGTTAAATTAATACCACAGTTTTTAAATTCACACCCAGAAATCTGGAGCTAATTGAAGGCTGGTCCTCGTTTACAAGTCATACCTATGTTTCCAGTGGCTACAACTACTCTATAAATGGAACAATCTGTTTTTTTTTTTCTTGGCTGCTACTGATTTAATAAGTTCTTTGAGGCCAAATTGAAAAACAAACTAACTATGCTGTAGGTTCTCTGAGTAGTCTGTCATCTCAATTTGAATAGAACAAAAAGTTATGGGATTAAAAATGCATTCCCATTTGTAAATCAAAGAACATATATCTGTATCTGAAAATTGAGAAAAGTGAATCAAAGTTGGTCAATGCATTTATAAACCAAAAATATTCAAGGTAGTAAAGGTTTTAAATTTTGTACGCCACAGACAGACAGCAGAAAAAATCTAATTGTTTAACACTTTACTAGTTGATCATAAAAGAAATTGTCCAGAAATGGTATAGGCCAATTACTTGGTGTACCTCTCCAAATAATTCAACAAAAAGTAAACAAATGTCCATATGTAATAACTCGACAGAATTTATATACTACTTTAAGGTCATCAGAGTCCTTCACCTTGTAGCAGCTCTTACCTAAGCATGCACACATTCATACATGAGCACACAGACTGGTAGGGGTGAAGCGGGGCACAAGGAGGCACATGTGAACCCACTGAGCTAGTCACCCAGAGCATAGACCTTTCTTTCTAGTGCTTTATTTGACAACTTCATCCTTTGAGTCAGCTTTTCAAAACCAAAAGCTATTTTTTTCAATATTGCAGGGTTTCAACTTACATCAGTAATGTCTCCAGGTTCACCTTTTTGACCCTGATAAAAGAGAAGTAAAGCAGAAACTCAATTATTAAGGTGGTTGAATATCTCTGTATAACCACATTTTTTAGAAAAATATTGCGCTTTTTAAACAAAAGTTGTGGAATAAGACCTCTGTTTTGCTACCAAGTGCTTAAGTATTGCATACCATGAACAGGAAACAGCTATTACTCATGTGGCAGCACTCATTTAAATCAAAGACACATCTAAATCCTTAAACTACTGGTTCTTCCTGCCTTAGAATCAGGGAGAGACCGAGGCTTGACTTCACAGACAGACAGTCAGAATCCCAAACACAGGTATTTTAAGTGTCTCACCTTAGCTCCTGGTTCTCCCGTTAGGTGTTTGTCCAAGATTGAGATAGAAAGAGATCACAGTTAGTGAACATATCACACCATAAACACCAACCCCAAATATCAAAACAAAGTTCCGCAGAACAAATGAGTTCATGGAAAGAACTGTAAGGGGATGCAATTTCCTAAAATAAACTATCCCAAAGACCACCACCAAATCATTGTGTTGTTACCCATTAGAAGAGAAGGAGTGTATATTGTCTCAAAGTCTAACAAAAGCCTAAAGTTAAAGCAAAACAGGTGCATGTATAAATGGAAACAGCAGAAAGCGTTCTCTACAGAAGCAGGGATGCTTTTGTAGAGCATAGGCTTCCATTGTAACATGAAGGGCTTAAATTTACACCATTTTAAGTAAGATTTTTAGTATTTTAATCTTTAATAATCTTTGTAGTTAGTGAGTTACACCTAAGCTTGAAATGTACTTAGTCAGTGTAAGTAAATGGTTTAAAATAATGCTGGTTATGTTTTCCTCATCTCAAACAAATTTGAACCAAATCTCAATTGGGCAATGAGCTGTCTCATTATCCGTCCAAATCTAACAAACATATTTGAAACATTGGTATTGGTGTTCTCTATGAAGGTTACAAGTAAGCATTAACTTTAATAACCAGCCTTATTTCCATGTGTGCTTATGAAAATCTATTCTCTATACATCACATTCCTCTTAAAGCAAGAATTTTGCCTTGAAATGTGTTAATATTTTTTCCAGCAGTTAAATCTGTAAGCATGCATTGCAAACAGTGACACCTCTAGTTTCAGTGATGCTCCACAGCCTGCTTTATTTATATTTCCAAAGCTGGCCACCGGTGTTGGGATACAGAAGCCTTTGTTTATCAGGAAACCATGGCACTTTTGAGGCAAGAGGCCTGAATGGCCTCCTTCATATACTCCGAGTCCTCAGTAGAGAGACGGGCTATTTTCTTGCCATCAGATCTGCAGAAATCCACAGAGAGGATATAGTGCAGAAATGTGAGGCGCTGTCTGTTTGACTGAGGTATTTCCTTAATCACTGCCACATGTTTTCTTGATACTCAGGGAAAGGGGCGTACTAAAACAAGATGAGGCCAAGGTGCACCAGCTATGGAAAAACAACAGTGAGATTAAGCATTTCACTGAAACCCAGTCAGAAGTGCCACTGCTGCTGTGTATTTCTCATCATCTGTTTGCTTTGGAGACATAAAGGTATATTCAAATATTACATCGATGTCAGGTGTTATTTTTCCTTCTGCCTCCAGAACAAACAGTGTTATTATATACCGTAATTTATTTATGAAGGATGTAAGATAAATAAATTACAACCAAAAGATGAAGGCTGGTCAGCAGCGCAGATGGGGCAACACTCTCCGAATGGGATTTCAGGTTTGGGGCAGTCTTTTAGCTCCTCGCAGACAATATCATCACATAGGACCATTCCCTTGTCACACACACAGATGCGACAAGGCTCTGGTTTCCATATGTCCTTGTCGTTATAACTCTGTCCATCTTGACTACAGATAAAATCCTCCTCTTCTGTGGTTGAGATCCCAGTAGAGGGGCACAAAGAGGAGGGTGCAGGTAGGAAGGAAAAACATAGATTAAACCATAATAAAAGCTGGCACTAACTGAAAGTTAAAACATTGATTTTCCCCACCACAATCTATATTACAATACTTAAACACCCCATAGGAGTCAGTTTATAACAAATATATCTCGCTTTATGATATAAAATAGATAATTCAGTGAAGTAATACAGCATAAATTTATTTAATTTATTTAGTCTTTAAAAATATATATTCTGAAGTACAATATCTTGTGCATGTTAATATTAGTATAATAAGCTCTCTCATAGGACTCTGATAGTTCATCAAATCTACTGAAAATTTTGTATTCAAAGATTAAAACACTGAATTAAGAGCTGTGATCTCTCCCCATTAAAAAAATAATGCATTGATAATTAACTTTCGTCACGTTCCAACAAGAGTCAATTAACTACCAGCCCATCCATCCATCCATCCATCCATCCATCCATCCATCCATCCATCCATCCATCCATCCATCCATCCATCCATCCATCCATCCATCCATTTGGTAAAGGTTGATAAGTGAAGAACTACCACCCATATAATTACAATAAATGTGTAAATTCTAACATGTAAAAATTAGATAGATATAGACTCAAAAACAAAGCAGATATAGAAGAAATATAAAAAATAGTATTGAATTTGCATGTGTCTTGTATTATGACTCTAATTACTGTATTTATGTATCATTCTACAAGGTCATCAATTAAAATACTTGCTTTAGCAGGTCCACTCCTCTACGACCTAACCCAATTCTGAGAGGTGGACAAAGATTTACATGTAACCTCTACAGTGGCCACAAGGTGGCAATGCAACTTCACAGACTACCGTTTAGGTAGGTAATTAATAGTTTCAGGAAATCTTTAACAAATAATTACAGCCAGAGACCTTTACAAACTAAATATAGAGCTAGTTTGTATCGTGCATACAAGACCGAATGTGCACTCAAGAAAACAGAATGTTTGCTTTTGAAACACAACCAACCAAGGGAATTCAATGAATGTTTTAACAAGCAATTACTACACATGATTCAGTTCAGATCAAAGAAAGGAAATCTGCAAACAGAAAGAGCTGCATAGACAGACGTCTAGATGGATTTTCCAGACAGGTTATAACTGGCTGTAACACCTGCTGAAAAAATGCTTTAAGTGGTGTACCTGAACCTGTGTGGAGGGGTGAGAGGCAACACACTCAGAAAAATAGAGTTTTAAGATATAAAGTGGTAAGAGAGGGTGAGAGAAGAAGAAGGGAGCACAGTACCTTCAGTAAGCTTACGTCTAGGTAACCTAACGGACCTCAGCAGCAATGAATGAGGTCTTTCTGGAAAGGAATAGAGCTAACAATTGACTGACTATTGGCCTGTATAAACAGGGGGAGCACTTTAACCCCCATATGGAGGCTTTGGCTGTGTCAGATGCCAATTTAAACACATTTTTGGGAGGAAAAGGGTGACTTTCATGTGCATTCCTTGAGGTTTTGCTGTTTAATTTCACAGGGCAAGATATTATCAAAGTCTGCACCTGCTTTTTTCTGGCTCATATAGAAATTATTATCCTGACATGGAATATTAAAAAACAAAGGCTCCTCTGTGAACTTCAGAGCTGAATTAGCAGGCTTTTTAATAGTGAAGATAAATAAGGAAGATTTTGTTTGGAAAGAAATTCTCCCTTTAAACACAACTCTGGTTGTTTTCTTAGTGTAATGCAAACAAAATTTAATTCTATACTTTTTTTTGTTGCAATTTGTTAAAATGTATATGCATGATTTTTGTGGACGACAGCTAAAGAGAGCATATGTGCTTGGACAAAATAAGACCTGTTTGCTTTTTCTTTTTCCAGAAAAGTTCAATTTCCAGCAAGACAAGACTGCTACATTATATAAACACTCTTATTTCCCAGACAGGGTAACATGACACTTCAAATTACTTTAGCTCAGCTAAATTTTGTTTCTTTTTTCAATATCTATCCCATCGCTCCCTCTGATGGAGCTGTCACAGCTTAACTTTATATTGCAAAAAAATAAATAAAAATAAAATCATATGGAACAGTGTTTATAACCTGTTATGGCCTCTGAAATCATATGAAAATAAATCAGTGATGCAGGTGAATTAAATCTACCTTTAGTCAAAAGGGGAATATAAGGGAAACCCCCGATAATGTAAAATGTTTTTGCATTATCTAAATTAAAGATAGCAACAGATTCATATCACTAGTGACATGATCCCCCTTTTTGCCTCAACACGCCAGGATTCGCCTGGATGCCCTCTGACTGGGATGGAATGTGAACATATTTTACCAAAGGGCTTTGAGCCTGACCACCTTTCACTCGATTTTCCTGGTTCCCTCTCTGTCTTTATGAAGTAAATCTGCAGTTTTTAAGAAAAGTCTGTCAAGGCCCCTAAAAAGCCCGCAGGTGACAGGCAGTTCAACCTCCAGAAAGGAAAGCAAAGTTGGTAAAAGCAGCAGCAGAGGAAACATATGCCACTTTTTTTTTGGTTTTGAATTTATGTTCAAAACTAAAAATAAAAGCAAGATTTTTAGCAGACAGAATAACAGGTAAACCTTTAAATAAAAAATATAATGAAATAATAGAATAAAAGGAGCATGAATGATGCTTCACTTGCAAAAATCTCCATCAACCTTTTCAGTGCGCACCTGTGCGTTATTTTTATGCGTCTGACGGGGAGGGTGGAGGCTTTTCTGATAAGCTTAATAATAAGACTACAACCTTTAAACTCTTTGCACAGAAAAAACCCCCTCAAATGTTATCATTTTTGTGTGAAAATGGTTGCAGAGACAAAACCAAATACCCATAAACTGAAATATAATTTATAAACTTCCATCAAAGAGTTGATCCACTTGAACACTGATTTAGTAATAAAATTTTTGGAAACTTACGGTTATCTTCCCGCTGACATCTCACCACTGCTAATAAGAAAACGTGGGATGCTACAAGAAGCAGTAAAGTCCTGGAATCCATAAAGCTCAACATGTCTAAATATTAGACATGCAGCAGAGGAGAGAGAAGGGTGAGAAGGCTTCTCTCAGGATGTTTAGTGGCTTTGTTTGGGTCCAGGTTACAGAAGACGGATCATTCGAGCTTAACTCTTCCAGATGATAATCGATGAGGGAGGAATCCAGCAGCAGGACCCGGACCTGCAGCACAAACTCAGCACCGAGCGCCTCAGGCCAGACGCTCAAGTTTTATGTCCCCGGTGCCTTCAATGAATCCTCGTATATTCCAAAGTACCCGTCCGGCCCCCTTTTTACCCCCTTGTCTGAAATCTGACTCCCCCTTTACTTTTTTCTCCCGGTCTCCCAGGTTCCATTATCCAATTTTCAGACCACTCCTTTCGTCACGTTCCAACAAGAGTCAAGAAAAAAACGCCAAACTTTTCCTTTTTCCAACTTAACTTAAAGGGATTACTGTAAAACGCTGCTGTAAGAAACCTCTTAGTACTGAATTATATTTTATTTTAAACCTACCAAAAAGCTCACATTCATAAGCTGCAGTAGGTAGTATAATTCAGTTTAATAATTTGTTAGAAATGTTTTCTTTCATAAATTAATGTTGAAAAGTAACTTCTTTACTTCATCATATTCAGCCTTGTTGATGAATATAAAGTCAAGAAGAATCCAAAATGTAGATTTTCAGAAAGGTTGAATAGCTATAATATTAGACCAATAAAATCATTTTGATTATAAAAATAAATCTAAAATCGTTTGTTAAGATTGTGCTGAGACCTAAGCAACCATTATTACTATAGACTTCACATTTTTTTCCAGCAAAAACTGCTTTGGACCAAATAACGCTGTACTGAAGGATAGAAAGAAATTTTGAGACAAATCAGTTTGCACAACCTTAATTTAATTGATTTTAAACCAACAAAAACTTAAAAGTTTGGAAATAGCCTTGATTTTCCCATCAGACCCATGGATAGGATTTGGACCTTTACTTTTAAAGCTTTCACCTGTCCCATCAGACAGTGAGATTCCTCCAAGAGCCACTTGGAAATAGATCTTCATTGCATCATCAAGAGACCTCAGCTCTTTCACAGTTGTGACCTTTGAACTCTGGTGTTTGGTCCCCCCAGACTTTGTTTGAGCCAGAGGCAGCTGTGGTGTGCTGAGAATGCAATATGGACTGATGCTGAGCTACAGATTCCAAGGAGAGCAGTGGTAATCACCCAGCTTGGAGAAATGCTGAGTACATTAATTCATTCTTTAAAACTTTTAAGATATTGTGAAAATGAATTCCTGGAAATATGGAGACTTTTAATAGGGTAAAAACTCTTAACTCTATCAAACTAATTTTAAAAGCCCCAAAATGGGAAAAAGTCTTTGGCTGCATTTAGTAGGAAAACGAGTTGAATTTTTCATCAGAAAAGGCACCGACTGGGTCGATTTCCAAAAATCATTCACAAATTAAGTTTAAGATATTCCATAAAATATACTACACACTTTAAACGACACATAAAATAGACAGTAGAAAATTCCCAAAAGCCAGAAATGTAAGGTGACCGATGCTGATTTTTTACACATGCTGTGAAGTTGCACAATTAATGGAGAATTTTGAAACATACTATGTAAATAATCTCAAAGGTTACAGGAAATCAGACTGAGCAGGAACCCCATATATGGATACTGGGAGACAGACCACCCTTAATATAACCAAAGGGTTAAATAAAAATGGATACTTTATCCTGCGTGCAAGCCCAGCTGTTAAAAAATGTCTCCTGACCCATCGGAAATCTGTAAAGTCATTATTAGCAAGACAATGAGTTGAAGAACTGGTTTCTTACTGCAGACCTGAAACGATTCTTTATAATATACAGTAAAGGGCTGGTTATGCTCCTGCAGCAGTGTGACACTTTGAGCTTGTTGCAGATATTTTTGATTTATGCTCAATTTTGAAGCGTGGTCTGCTCTATGTTATTCCACGCCACAACGCAAGAGGGACCAACACAAACTAGTTGTGGGTCTAGATACGGCCAAGGCAGTGAGGAAGTGGGGTCAAGTTTGTGCCACAATGGCGGGACATGAGGGCAGAAAAGAGCTGGGATCCAGGTGGAAAAAGGGTACCAGCATTCCTGCTTTTCTAAATGGTCCATCTTCAAGAGTCGTTTTCCACAATGGCGGTCATACGAACAAAACAAGCCCGTAAGGTACCAAACAAGAAATATGGATAGGGTAGAGCGGATGTAGATTAGACCAATCAGAGGCCTCCTGTCTGCGGCACTGTCTTTGGTCACCTACAATTTGGGAGAAATGCACCAGAGTGTCTGCGGAAGGGGCGGGTGGCATATCTGCTTTCACTGCGACACACATGTAGACGACCTGGTTTCTGAGTATAAATCAGGTTTAAGAGGGAGACAGGCAACTTCTGAAAAAATCTGGAGTCTTGTCATGGTAATACTACCTTCTCTGGATTTAGCTCATCAGAATGCAGTATGAACCTTCTTGGAGAGTAACCCTCTAGTGCTACATCTAAGGTAATCTCTTTATTGTGATTTGTGATTGATAAAAAACTCATTGCATTACTGTGTAATAAAAATGCTTGAAGGGTTGGAGTGGAATGTGAGAAATGGCTGACTTTTTTGGATTGCATGGATTTTTAAAAATGTATTTTGCTTTAGTTAGTTAGTGTTATTTTTATTTCCTTAATTTATTTCTGGTGTGTAAATTACCGTACCCCTTTGCAGTGTGCTTAAAACATCATATGTTGATCAGTGTCCCTGCTATAAAAATGTTTTATTCTTGTGCTTTTTTAAAATGTATCAAAATGTTTATCCACCATAAAAATGAATACGAATAAATAAATAAAAAATCAAAACACAGAACACTATCGAGAGGATTATAGTTATTTGAATGTAGTCTTTTACGACAAACTAACATGTTTGCCTTTTGCTACTATTTTTTACATCATGCTTTACCATCGTAAGCTGGCCTAAATTTACAAAACTTGTAATTTTGTTTATTTTAGGCCATGTTTTGGCAGCTTGTTGAGCATAAACCGCTCATCTTGGACTACAAGACTTGTCTGAGGCATATTATAAGCTTCCGTTTCCTTTTGGAATCTTGTGGTAGGATCTTAAACCGTTTGTAACACAGAGATCAAAAGCATAAAGTCCCTACACTGAAAATTATAAAGCTTGGAGAAAGAAAAGTGGTATTTTGCTTCATAATTGTTATAGAACAACTACCGTAACTATACTGTAGCAGCATGCAACGTCTTTTACAATATACCTCTTTTTAAGAATTGTTTCAAAACTCTAGATTTGAACAGGTGAGTTGGTCTTAATTATGTAAAGGGAGCACAGTCACTGATTGATTTGATATTCATTTGCAGAATTCTGAACTTCAATAGTCTTTTGCAGCAACATGACAGTATGCAACAATTTTTCTTTTTAATCACCTTACCCACTCTTAATGGCATTTTGCTGTGAATGCATGTAAATCCCATATGCCAACAATTTGTTCACATTAAGCAAGGTTGGGGGCATATACAAAGAGCAATTTATTTGAACAATTTACCTATTTTACCCACAAGTAAGTTTTGATCACTATAGAATAAAAAGAGTAAATAAAATCCATATTCAGGTTTTTGATAAAAAAAAAAAGTATTACTAAAACATTAGAGGCTGTGCACTCTAATGAGATGTACAGGACCTTAATAAGAAATGGCCATTACATGGCAGAACATCAACCATACCTTACAGTAGGAAGGAGGAACTTGTTCATGTATTCTTCCATTATTTTACACCTGAAGCATTCATAGCTGAAACATTGTTGGTTTATCTCAGATAACAATTTTTTTACTGTATTTTTAGGCTTTAGTGACCTTTTTTGTCTCTTGTATTATTACTTTTTTCTGATAACCGTTAAGGCAATTCAAGCTTCAACTTTATTCATGTTAAAATGTGGTATGTAATATTCTTTTTTTTACTTGATGATCTGTATTTTAACTATTAAGTTAAGAAACACACACATACAAAAATAACTGCTCTGGTACTGAGCTTCTGTAACATTAAGCAAATGTTAGTGTGGACCATAGAGTCAAGTAGAAAATGGACTTTGGGACACAATGATATTAATCTAATTAGCATATTTAATATTATATGTATTTGTATATATTACCTAATTAGCGAATTTAGATAATATAATTCAATAACTGGTTTATTTCCTCAACTTTCTACAAGTCTCTGTAAATAAGAATCAATTTAATTGAATTGCCAAAGAGTAAAGAATAAATCACATGAGGAAGAAACAAGGAAGAACCAGTCTGGACTTCATCTATAGAGAGGTTATATGTGACCCTGCCTATGAAAACCCAGCTAAAGTCATTTTTTGGTGAATCTTAACTTAATGTATAAAACCATTCTACACAATGTTAAGAATGGTTTTATACATTAAGTTGAGATTCACCAAAAAATGACTTTAGCTGGGTTTTCATAGGCAGGGTCACATATGAAGGTGCTCTGAGACTGTAGATGCATCCCTCTCTGATTTCTTGGCAATTCCTCATAATAACCACAAAGCATGTAAGAACTAATTATATTTTGGCTTAGGAACCTATTTTGAGTCTTAAATCAGAAAAAGTTTGGTCATTTGATTCCTTTTCAGAAATTTAATTCAATTAAGAATAATGATGATAATAAGAAAATATGTTTTTACTCTAAAAGGCACACAAGATAAAAGAATACAGTACTTATATGCAAATAAATCCATAATAGTAGTTGATAAGCTAGTGATGTTTCTTGTGGTTGTTTTCCTTGTTGAATTGACTTTGCTTTATATTGAATATTAATTAATTTCCACTCACCCAGTCAGTAAATTAAAGCCTTTTACACTGTAATTGTATAGGTCATAAACTGAAATGTTTTAATGGAAGAAAGCCTTCTGTATTGGTAGCAAGATGCAAGAATTTCTCCTGCCACGTCTCTTTTGTCATAATTTTGGTTTCTTTTTAAATATAGCTTTGTCAGTATGGGCAAGTTTACTGTTTACTAGGAAGTTTACTGCAAGTTTACAACTATTTTCTTGTATACCATTGCCTAATCTATAAAGATCAACACATATCTACCTTGACTTAAATAATAATTTGTCAATAATCCAAAAGAGAAAGGTCACATGATATTCATGCAGCAGGAAAATTCAAAGTGGTATATTCAGTGCTAAATAAAGGTTTACCCTATGGCCAGTTGTAATAACCTAAATAATGAATT